AAAATATAATCTGCAAGTTAATTGGCTTGTGTACATTGTACTCTAAAATGACCTCCCCACATTGACATTTGTGCACCACCTGTAATCACTCTGGGGCAATGCTCACATCTTGCTGCATGTACATGTATAAGGCTACTATTGAAGTGTATTTGTGAGATGGACTCCAGCAAGCATGTGACTGTGAGATTATGTGTGGGGAAATGTATTGAACTACTGTGTGTGTACACACACCCACATGTGGAGAAGGCTCTGATCTTGAACTAATCCTGCACAGGTATCCTTCCCTTTATAAATTGATTCCAGTAAAGATAGAATAAAACAAATTTCCTAAAAAGAGAATTCCATTTTTGGTATAAAACAAGTGACCTGTTCCCTGGTGGGGATGGTATGTTCTCTAGATAAAGCTGAAAACTTAAACTCACCACTTTAGGGAAAAATTCCTTTAATTTGAAACACTGAGTTATGTGTAAAATTAATTAATTAGCCTTTGCTTCAATAGTTAAGTTTTAAATACTTCATATTGAGTTTAATTTAAACAAAGGATACATGCAGTCAATTGATGGTCTATTCTTCAAGTGATAAAATAGGAGGTTTCACCTTGCTTTTGTTCAAGCCCAACCTACTAAGTTCTTTTACTAACATTTAAAAACTGAAACAGTAATCTTGTTACTAGACATCTTCTTCGGATTTTCTTAAGCTCACAGCTGCCTCACTTCCACTATTCTTAGTAGCTAACCAGGATTTGGCAGCTGCTCCACTGTTGTGGTTGAGGGAGCAGGCATTGGTCTTGTTAGAAATCGGAATCTCAAACATTAGCTATTCTCTGAAACTGTCTCTGAAAATTGACAGAGAAGCTGCATCCTGTTTCCCTGCCAAACAGATTTACTACCCCTATTGATTCTTCACTGAACTTTGCCAGTGTAAGCAGAGTTCAAATCACCCCCAGAGTTGTCTTCCCTACACTTCTTTATCATTCCAGTAGGTGGAGTTTAGCTGGGGGAAGGACATTTGACATGGGTTAGTTGGATTGAGCAGTATGGAAATTTGCTTCCTTCATCACATACTGCTGTTTCTCCTTGTTAAATGTGCTTTGATGGTTTTAGTATTATTGTGCCAGGGATGGGAAAAGGGGTGGGGGGTTGTGTGTGGGGAGAGTACCTATTGTATTTTCTTCAGTGTCATTGTTCTTGGTAATTGATACCTCTGTCTTATTTCTCTCATTCTTTCAAAATAAAATTTTTTTTGAAATTTGGAGGAAATTGTCTGGATAAATACTGAACATATGAAAAGAAAGGGTATTTAAAAGGATTCAGGCTTTTTTGTTGTTGTTGTTTTTGGTCTGAATGAAGGAGGAGAAGAAAGAGAAAGTATAAGTATGATCACTTAATACACTAATGAAGTTGCCAAGGCCAGTTTGCTAATTCCTTATAAGTTCCCTCGCAACTTTTTTTTTTTTTTTTTTTGGCAGTACTGGGGATTCAACCCAGGGCCTTGCACATGCTAGGCAAGCACTCTACTACTGAGTTACACCCCCAGCCTTTTCTATTTTATTTTCAGACTGGATCTTGCTAAGTTGCCCAACCTGGTTTCAAACTTGGGATTCTCCTGCTTCAGCCTCCTAAGTACCTGGTCCCTCACTTTTTTTTTGAATGCATGTAAGACAGAAAGTTGTAGTTAGGATCTCAATACAATTTCCAGGTTTGGGAATTCTTTATTAGTTGATGCCTAGGGAAGGTAAATTATTTCAGAGAAAATTGAAGGTTTATTAAATAAATATGAAGTACTGTCTCACTATGTACATGTCCATAGAGAGGTCTAAGTTTTGCAGTGCCCAAAATTTGTCATGTTAGGCAAGTTATTTCATTGCTTAGGGCACAAGTTTCATGGGCTTAAAAAAATAAAAGGAAAAAGGTTGCTGGGCATGGTGGTGCACACCTGTAATTCCAGTGATTCAGGAGGATGAGTCAGGAGGATTGAAAGTTCAAGTAGCCTGGGTAACTTAGCAAGACTTTACCTCAAAATAAAAAGTAAAAAGGGTTGGGATGTAGCTTAGTGGGAGAGTACCCCTGGATTCAATCCCCAATATTGCAAATAAATAAATAGGTGTCAAAATCTTAAAATCTCTTCCAATGTACCTTTATTTGAGGCTATGAAATGATTAAATGCATGAAAAATGACAAAATTTCAGTTTTACTAAAGAGTAGCTATCATAGAAAAATTGCACAGTCTCTATTTTCATGCATGACTAAATAAGAGTTTGTCAAACTACTCTGAAAACCACATAAAAATAAGATGTGGTAAATAGTCATTTCTTTTTTTCCTTTTATGGAGGGGCAGGGATTGAACTCAAGGGCACTTGAGTACTGAGCCCCATCCCCAGCCCTTTTTATATTTTATTTAAGAGACAGGGTCTCAGTGAGTTGCTTAGTGCCTTGCTGTTGTTGAGGCTGGCTTTGAACTTGCCATCTCCTGCCTCAGCCTCCCTACCGATGGGATTACAGGCATGCACCACCGCTCCCAGACATAAGTAGTCATTTCAAATACATTATCTTAACCTTTGATTATTCATTTTTCTCTAAGATTGCAAATTTTCCACCTACATTATGTTTTGGCCTCAAATCAGGGAGTACCATTACATTTATAGCTTTCCTCTAGTTTTAAAAAAAATTTTCATTTATTTATTTTTTGTACCAGGAATTGAACCTAGGGGCACTTAACCACTGAGCCATATCCTCAACCCTTTTTATATTTTATTTAGAAACAGAGTCTCACTGAGTTGCTTAGGGCCTCAGCTAAGTTGCTGAGGCTGGCTTTGATTACAGGCAGGCGTGCCATGACTGGCTTATTTATTTATTTATATAAAGGCATTGGGGATTGAACCCAGGTGCCGAAGTCTGGCTAGGCACAAATCAGGAGCCACTCAAGCAGGAACAAACTTTATTTCCAAACTCCCCCAAACGCCACCCATGCAGTGGCCTTCTCCGGGACACACCACACACCAACTGGAACTCCCTCCACCAGAACTTCACCAACCAATGAGAACTCCCCAGGAATCCCCTGGAGAACTCCAAAGTAGGGGGCACCTGAGGCGGACAGCAGGGGTCTGTATACAATTGCATACACAGCCAGTTTCAATCCAGCAT